TACAGCATCCCCAGGAACCAGTCAGGCAAAACCTGACTACACTCAGCTCACACTCCAGAGCACAGACAAACAGATGAAAAGAGAACACAATGTTCATGAGTAAAGATGATTCGAGGTAATGACAGGTAATGACAGAGGCAGGGTGGGGCAGTGGCGGGGGGGGTTCAATTCTCAGCACCAGGGAAGGCCTCTGTGGGGCAGTGGCATTGGGTACAGACCAGCATGAAAGGAGCACAGGTCTTTCTTGTAAATGTCCAAAGGAGAAATTCCGGGGAGGAGAAGCAGCAGGTGCGAAGGCCCCAGGGCCAAGGGCACCAAAGTGTGAGTGTAGCTAGAGTGAGAGGCACTAGAGAGGGCGCTGGGGGCCTTGGAGGGGACTTCTCTGTCACCATCAGTGACCTGGGAACCCTCAACAGAGGCAGGGCGAGACTCACCCTGTGCCTCTTGTGATCTCTGGCCACTGTGGAGCGGCCACCGCGTCCGAGTCACAGGTTTATGAATATGATCACAACCATAATCCAGCCAGAGACGAGGTGGTGAAGCGAGGGGGGGACGGGCTGGATTCTGAGCGCATTTACAGGAGGATCCCTGCGGATCCGCTGGCCCACTGAGGTGGGGAGGAGGACAGAGGAGCCTCCAGGCTGCCCCAGGCCTTCACCTTGACCACCGGGAAGGGGGCAGCTGCAGCAGAGGCACAGGGGCTGTGGGACAGCAGGAGAGCCTGAGCTGGGGGGGCGGGTCCTGTCCCTGTGAAGTGGAGGGTTCCCTGTGCACATCCAGGGCAGCAGGAGGAGGCAGCTAAGGTGGCACCTGGGTTCCAAGTGCTGCTGGGCTCACTCAGGGAATCAGTGGAGGGAGAGGGAGACCCAGAGGCCTGAGCAAGGGGAGCAGGAGGGGCCAGCGAGGCAGCTGAGAGGGAGCAGCCAGCTGGGAGTGGGCGGTGACCCGGGCCCAGGAGAAGGAGGCACCTGCTTGGCTGCTGCTGAGAGGCTGCCAGGTGCTGGGCCGAGTGCGGGCGGAGATCATGGCTGGCCTCTTCCGGACATGCGGTGGCATGGCCCGCTGAACCCTGCCAGCCCAGCAGTCACTGACCTGCTTCCTTCCTCCCCCATGAGAAGCATGTGGCATTGAACTCGGCACCTGTGTGCTGCCTGTCAACGCGGAGGACTGCAGCATGCGGGGCCAGCGCAGGCGGAAGAAGCTGAGTGTGGGGGGTGGTAACCTGAGGCCGGGCCTGGCAGGGCACAGGATTTGGGCAGGAAGGTAGGTGGGGTCTGAGGCAGGGTAGATTTGGGACATTGTCCCACGCCCCTCCCCACCTTGATTAGAAGAGCTGATATGAGGCTAAGGGCCTCCCCTCACAGTTTTCAGAAGAGCAAACTTCCCTGAAGTGTAAAGAGCAAGATACTGTTTTGCAAGCAGATTGAGAGACCATCCCAACGAGCATGTGCAGAGACCCCCAAATCTGACCTACAGTAGTAGCCGAGAAGGGAGAATTCCCTACTTAAGACCTCACACATATTACTTGCATCTCATGCATCCAGTGTAAAACCCAGGAATGAGCATTTGTAGCATGGGGTATTTGGGCAAAGCAAGAAATCTGCCAATCACCCCTTGTTTAGCTAAACCGCTCCTAGCAATAAACCGGCCAAAGTCAGGCAAAGAACTCATGAGTGCACATAAGCCCATGTCCCCTGAGTCCACAGGCAGATGTCTTTGTCATGTCCCTGCTGCCACCTGGCAGTGTATCCTCCTCCAATAAACTCTCTTACCTGTTCCTCTTAGTCCTGGTGAGTTCTTCTTACCACCTGCACACTGACAGTCACCAAGCCCCACAACAGGGCCCAATAATGAAGGGCTCTGGATGCATTATGAAGGACCTGAGCAAAGGACACCATGACATGACTCGAGCTGGGTCTCGGATCTTTGCTTTGGTGACTGCAATGATTTGAATGTGGTTTGTCCCCCAAAGTTTATGTGGGTATCCTTGGTCCCTAATCTGGCAGTATTAACCTGCAAAAGATGAGGTCTGGTGGAAGACTATTTGGTCACTGGGCTGAAGCCCTGAAGGGATTTACATAGAGCTCGTGGGACCCTGGTTAATTTTGCAGAAGGAGTTAACAAAAGAGCAAGATGTCCCCTCCTGCCCTTGCTCGGCTTCCTGTCTAGTCGTGTGATCTCCTCTGACCTGTGCATTCCCTTTCTGCCTCCCTCTGGGCCTTCACCAGAGGCTGCTCTGATGGGCCACCCAATCTGGGACTGAGCTGAATACAGGTTTTGCTTTGTCCTTACCCAGCCTACCGTATTTTGTTCAATAGGAAACAGAACAATGCGGGGGCTAATGTGCAAATGTGCAGAGAGGAGAGTCCAGCGCCTTACCTGAAGAACCCTCAGATGCCCAGGCGGTACTGGATGGTCACCACCACCACATTTTCATGGGCAGAGAGGGGCAGTCCATCATAGGTAGATACCCACCCATCACCACCATCATCTGGACAAGAATGATGTGTTAACACAGTGGTTAGAAGAAGCAGAATTGGGAAAGACACGAGCTGTCTGACTTGGTCACCTACATCTTGACTGGGACTCATGAAGGCCACTGCCCCTAATACAACAGAACCCAGTAAGGTTATGAAATGCAGTCTCCCTAGTGAGAGACTGGAGAGACTGGACCACGCCCCCCCCACCAATGCACCTGCCGTTCTACCTGGACCCACATGCCATGTCCTCCCAAGGCCCTTAAAACAGAGAATGACATCGTGGGGACAGCAAAGGCCAAGGATACTGTGTTCTCCCCTACACTCCCACGGTCCTCACAGCTAGGCCATTCGACCAGCTGGACCTAAGCAATGTATTTCAGATTCGACTCAGTTAACTCTTTAGTGGGGGATTGAGCTTCCTGGTTCATGTGTGGTTGTCTTAGGAATGACACGTGCCCCTGGGTGTGTGTTGCTCACGTGCCCTCTCTGATTCCTCTGCACCCCCAAAGGCTGCTGCCCTTCTTCCACAAACCCACCTCCCAATCACCTTCTCCAGCAAGTCTTTGGAGGTTACTTCACATTACCTGACCATCTGCCCTGTGCCGGGGCCTGTGATAAGAACTGAGGATGAGCATGGATACAGCAACTTGTAAATCATGGTTCTCACAAAGAACTCATGCAGCAGGAAGAAATGAGAGTGGCCGAGGAATGTTGTGCTAGCATTGCTAATAAGAGACCCCACACTGCAACCTTTGCATCAAGAATTCTTCTAAGTACTTTGAAATAAACTATCCACAAGGCAAGTCCTGGTATTTTCCCATTTGACAGGAAAACTAGGCACTTCACCTTCCCAATATTCCACAGCTAATAAGTGGCACAAGTCAGATTGGACCCAGACAGCTGGCCCTAGAGCCCGCCTGCCACTCCCTGCAGCCCACAGCCACGGTCACCACACAGTCAGCCGCTAGGGCAGGAGGAAAATCTTCCTGCAGCTCTGAGTCATTTTCAGGAGAGCCTAAGATCCTACGGGAATAAGTGACAGAGGGGGACTTGGCCCAGGCAGTCCCAGAGTCCATGTGCGGAGCTGCCGGACTGCCTGCAGTCCAGCCCCAGCACAGTGAGCCAGCCCTTAGGGCAGGAGGAAGGTCCTGCTGCAGCTCTGACCTGTGTTCCAAGAGGCTCGCTCTGCGCACTCAGCAGCCCTGAGATGAAGCCCGACCGCCATCATTAGACACTCACACGGGATTCTTCCCTGAGAGGAAGCAGAGGCTGAGGGAGGTGGAGAACTTGCCCAAGACTCTCAGCCAGGCCAAGGCAGACCCAGGATCCAAACCCAGACCCTGGAGATCTAGACCCTGTGTCCACAGCTGGGGGTCTCCTGCCTCCAGGCTCCCAGACCCCTGTTTCTCCTGCACCTCTGATCCCTGCTGTCCCCAGGGAGGGACTGAGTTGGGATCACCTGAGTGAAGGTGAGCTCAAGGACAGGTCAGGCTGAAGAAGCCAGGACGTGTGCAGCCAGATGGCAAGACCTGGAGGGCAGGGGCTGCTGGGCAAGGCGCCGTGCCCCTGCTCCCCCTAAGCCCAAGTCTAACTGTGTGTTTTGAGACGCTGAGTGTAAGCATCTGAATTAGTGGAGGAGGAGAACTCCTGTCCTCACTGCCTTACACCCGAAGACCAGCTTCCAGCCCCAGCTTACAACCCCCTTCCCAGCACCTGGGTAGTCTTCCAGGTGTTCCTTCTTTTACTGCAGAGCTCCCCAAATTAACCAGAAGAACCTTGCCACCCTCTGACCTGCACCTGGCAGCCTGTCCCAGGGGAAATGCTGACTCATGGGCATCGGCCTGTGCCATAGGCAGTGTGTGTGTGTGTGTGTGTTGGCGGGGGGAGACGAGCTACCGTAAAACCCCAGGTATTTGACCAAAGGCAAGGAAAGAGCTTCTGAGGCTGACCTAGGCTCTGCCTCCCCACCTCCAAAAAAGGGGCAGTGACAGGGGACAGACAGTAAAAGTGGTCACACGTGGTGTGCTGTAGAAAGACGACACACGTGTGCCATTTCCTAGTCTGTGCTCAGGGGCATTGGTTTACAGGCCCTGAGCTTGGTCCTGTCACCCTGCTGTGTGGCTTCCCTTCCCCCATCTGGGCCTCAGTTTGCCTCCCTTAAAGAATGGGTGGATTTTCTCTAAGATTTCTTCCAGCTCTAACTTATTTGAAATCACATCTTAGCTGCTCTGGAGATCAGATTCTTAACCTAGAAACTAACAGTAACCATCCTGAGCTTCTGTGAGTGTGAGAGAATGTGGAAAGATTACGATGCTCTTTCCAGATTTAGTGCACTCTTCCCCAAGACGCTGAGGTCACCAAGATAAAGGACAACTAGTCTTTTCTTTGGGGAAAGGAAGCTCAGGACCCCTGACTCATCATGGTCCAGGGTGTCCCTCATCCATGCTGGCTTCATCTCCTTCCCGCCTGTGCCCAGAGATCCCAGATATTGAAACACAAATCTCTGGGGCCCATGCTCACCGTCAGCCTGTTTCTCGTGGTCAAGTCTGCAGGAGTGTAAATGTTCAGGTAAAGGCAGTCTTCAGAGAACTGGAGGGGAATGTTCTCCTTCCTGTTGGTAAGGAGATATCAGGTAAACTGCCCCGCCACTGCATCTTGGGAACACCTGGGAGGGGAGAAAGAAGGGCTCAGAGATTCAAGGAGATGGAGGCAGAAAGTGTCACCTGAGGCCGGACCTTGCACTGGGGTTTAAGCCTCTGTGTGGAGCTGCTATCACAGGACTTGAGACACTGGCATGTGTGAGAAGCTCACTGGGGGGTTTTTTGGGAACCGTGGGACTCCCTTGAGTCTCCCCAGATCATTCAGAGTGACAGGGACTTGAGACCTCTTCCCATCTGAGACTGTGAGATGCTCTGAGCTAAGAGAAGGGAGCTGTCCATAAGCTGACCTGCCCTAAGAGATGACATCTCCTACCCTCCTGGGACCTGGTATATCTCTGCTGGGTTGCAGGGCTACTGTGTTTCCCCACCAGGTAAACATGGGAGACTTTCATCAACCAGGAGACCTCCCTTAGGTGACAGTCAGAATACAGAAGGTGGGGAGTGGCATTGCTGTTGGGCAACCTCAGCAGAACTGTAATCTTCTCCTGCTTCAGCCACTAGAGTGCTGGCTGACCTTGGGTAACTTCCTTTCCTGCCCTGGGTCCCAGTCAGCCAGGTCTAAGTGAGGGGAGTACTTTCTCTGGACCCTTGCAAACCTGGTGTGGTAAGACTCCATCACATCATCAGCTTAACACAGGCAATCTTTTTTGCTGCACTGAGACCTGGGTGCATCTCTGCTGGGATGCAGGTGGTTGCAGTGGTCTCCAAGATTCAATTTAGAATGGAATTGGTAACATTATTGAGTTCTCTCCATACGCTGGGCCCTGATTTGGATTCTTGTCATTTACTAACTTCTTTCAGATTCATATTATTCCTAGGACTTGGGTTATATTAAAATCCTTAATCATAGATCAGAAAACAGCCATGAAGACATTATACCAGCTGCCCAAAGCCACATAGCCAGGAATCTCCCTGCTATGTAGTATGTAGATTTCAAAGGATAATATGGGCAACATTCTCAGATCTCAGTGGACCCAGAAGGCAGCATTGCTTCCCCAGTGTGTAGAAGTGACCAAGGCACTCAGGAGCCAACAGGACACAGCTGTCATGTGGCAGAGTAGAGCCTGAAAAGATGTCCTCAAGATTTCCACCCTTGGAAATTGTTCCTAGACCACCAAGAGCAAAGGGCATAAGAGTCATAATGACAGAAATTCAAAATTAAAAGAGGCAAAGGAGTCCAATTTCACTAGCCTTTAGATAAATTCCAAATAAAGACTGAAATTATGGCTGTCCTTATAATGATTATCTTCCTATTTTGCACACCCAATAGTCAAAAAGTGTTCATTTAGTGAACCCGAGATTGGCAAGGGTCTGCAACATGGAGGTTTTCATACATCAGTGGAAGGAATAAACACAGCGGAAATATGTCTGGCAGAAAAATTACCAAAATATGCATCTTCTTGATTTCTTGGAACTGATCCTAAAATATCCGTGAATATGTGTGATGATTTATTTACAACCTCATCATCATAGTGTTAATCATAATTTCAGGAACAGCAAAACACTGTAATGACCCTAAATAAGAGATTGAGTAAATTGATTTTTTTCCATACCCAAATAAACACAGCTACTTAATGTCAAGCTGGGATATTGAGGGCACAAAGTGAAGCTGATGATGTACTGATCGATGAGCACCGCGGTCAAGCATATTATGAGTACGCATGATCTACTGTCAAGGGGGAAAAATGGGAAACATGATCTCTGTGATGGTGTGGATGTGAGGTGTCCCCAGAGCTCCTGTGCTAATGCATAGCATGTTCGGAGGTGGAATGACAAGATGGTGACAGCTGTAACCTCATCAGTCTGTCCTAGTTTAAGTGGACTGTCTAAGTGGTAACTGTGGCAGGTGGAGCATGGCTGGAAGAGGTGGGTCAGTGGGGACAACCTTGGAAAGGTGCATCTTCCCCATCCCCCCTTTCCCCTTCAGTCCTCTGCTCCCTGGCTGCCACACCCTTCTGCCCTGATGTGTTGCCTCACCCTGGGGAAAGGGCAATGAGTTGGCCACCACGGACTGAGACCTCTGGAAACATAAGCCCCAAATGATCTTGTCCCCCTCTAAATTGTTTTTGTCACATGTAGTTTGGTCACAGCAATGGAAAGGCTGATTAAAATAATCTCTAATAGGACTAGCAATTCTCTCTGGGTGGTAAAAGTACACAATTGTAGTTTTCTTACTATGCTTCTCTTTTTTCCCTAATCTCTTTGAAATATATGCACGAACACGCGCGCGCACACACACACACACACTCGCAATCAGGAGGTAAGAACCGTGCATTTTTTTAAAAAAAGGCAAAGAAAGAGTACACTCAGAAGTGGGCTCCTGGACATCCTCAGAAGTACCTCGCTGAGGAAATGAATCATGTCAGGACTGACACTTGTACTTGTCTGCATGTTCCAGGGTGACTGATCATCAGGAACGATTGGGTTTTGTATCAGGTGACCAGGGTCCCTGAGCACACCGGCATTTGCTCTGCCCATGACGAGGTATCTAGCACAGCTGGGAGTTGAGAACTGGCCATGTCAACCCTCCAAAGCATAGCCCCTCACACACACATTAACCTCTCTGCCCCTTGATCACGCCACAGTTCAGTGTAGATAAGATCAGTACTTCTCATTTCCCTCACCTACTCAACTCCCTTTTTCCCAAAGCACTAATATTCTAACATATTACCTAAGATATTTTTTAATTGCATGTTGTCATCTCTTTCCCCACTTCAGTGTAAGCCCCAGGAAGGCAGAGATCTTTGTTTTGTTCACTAATGCATTCTAGGAACCCACAATAGGTGCCCAAGAACTAGGTGCTGAACAAAAGGCTGTAGACACCCCTGAGAGGTCCAGAAAATCTCAAATAAATAATTAGCAGAATATTTTTATGGAGATATATCCGTTCCCCAAGGAAAACCCACAGAATAAATACTTTATGTCACTAGGTGACGATAAAAACCAATGCAAAAATTCTATATCGATACAGAATTTTAAGTGCCTTATGCATCTCTCAGCCTTTAAAACCAAAAATAAAAAAATACTTGCAACTTGGAGGACTTGGTGGCTGATCAGATTATGGCGGGCACTGGAAAGGAAAGAAGACTGAAGAACTGACCCTGTGTCAGGCAGGGTCACTGGGGACGTCAGTGAGATGTCCTGGCAAGAGACCACAGGACCAGGGCACCTCCGGACGGGAAGGAGGTGGGTGAGGGGCGGGGGATGGTCCCCCTGGAGGTGAGGGTGCACAACATGGATGTGTGTGGCTCACTGCCGGGGCCAGGGCGAGAGGAGAGCAGCAGCGGAGAACGGGGCTCAGAGGCAGCTTCAGCTGAGGTTGGGAGCACCCACAGGGGAGGTGGATGGAGGAGGGTGGAGAGTCAGGAGCCCAGGGAGGAGTGGAGGAGTGACTGTGTGAGGGCAGAATGTTGCAAGGATATGGAGGAGGATAAAGTCTGAGCAGTAATCACTGGGTGTGGCCTGAGTTAAGTCAGTGAAAACCCTTTATCCAAATGTAGTGGCTAGAAGCCAGATTGCCCAGGGTGGAAATATGGGTAGATGGACAGGCATACATTAGCCACAGCGGTTGCCTCTTATGAATGTGGAATGTGCACATAGTGAGCACCTATAGTATGGTGTGCCAGATGTGGATTCTAGTTCCTTTCCATTATTCTTCAAATTGCCTTATTAAGTAACTGCTAGTATGCCCACTTAACAGATGGGCAGACACAAAGTGCCCGTTAGGGACTTCCTAATTATGGACATGAGGTGGCATGGCCAGGGGTAACCAGCACTGAGGCAATGTACTCCAAACTAGGTTCCTCTCTCAATCTGCCTTCTACTCAGTTCCGGATCTCTCACAATGTAACACCGTCAGAAAGAAGATAAAGTCCACACAGGGCCTGGGCTGTCAGGGCACGATGGCCAGAGAGCTGGCTCTGGATTAAAGAAAATCCGGGCATGATTTGCCAGCTGAGCTTGAGAGTCTCAATTTCTCTGAGTCTCCGAGTCTCAATTTCTCTGCCCATGAAATGGCACAGAGGTATGCTCTTGTCCTTTGCTGTCCCAGCGTATTAACCATGGATTTATTTTTCATATATGATGCTTTGACCTGTGGGTTTTTGCTCATCCTGAAGGAACTATCTCTCCAAAGTCCAAACACAAAAGAGTCCACACTCCAACCAAGAGAGAGGCCAAGAACACTGGTTCTTATAACTTGGGCCTGTTCAAAACTGTTTAAACCACCCAAAGCTTGGTACAGACACCTGGGAAGTCCTTATTCCCCAAAGACCCTAAAACAACCCCACCTGGCCAACGCTAAACCAGGTTTCCCGTCTCACCTCAAGGAAAAACGCAACAGATGCCCCTTTGTCCCCTCTCCCTCTGCCTCCTGCCTGACCTTGTGCACAATCACCCCCGTGGTCCTTAAAAATGTGAGTGAAAAATCATGTTTTCAATAGCCAAGGGCTCCTGGTCTGATATAAGTCAAATTTTCTAATAAAACACTCAATTTTAGATCAACATTTTATCTTTTTTCCACTTCCTCCAGACCAGGCACTGTTCTAAGAGCTTTAGAAAGAACCACCTATTTCCTCCGCACTACAGATGAGTAAGGCTATTCAGAGATGGGGTAACTCAGGCACAGCAAAGTTAACTACCTGGCCCAGAGACACCAGCTCATAAGTGCTGAGCTGGAATCCCCCTGACTCTATCCCCTGAGATGATGATTTCAGCTGTCTACCAAGCCTCTCTCTGTGACCTGGCCAGATCTGGACTAACAGTCCAAGGTAAGAGAAACTGAACTGTTAATTTACCATGTGCGGAGCATAGAATTTTATTTTTGTTCTCCTGCATCTGATCCCTGTAGATGGGGTCTCCAGATGTTTATCCAGCCTCTCCCCTGTATCTCAGCATAGCCAAGGCTGGTTGGCCTTGGCTGCCCAAGTTGAAGTCCATGTCCAGAGAAAGAGCACTGCTGTAGGGCCAAACACTCATGCCCTTTGCTCTGTGTGCATCTCACTCTTGGGCCCA